AGATGCCCTCTTCTTTAGTATATAATCCTGGCAAAGAAGCCAGCGACATATAGAAAATTAAAGAAGCAAACAGTAATAAAGACAGTAATAATAAAGTGTGTGTTTTGTACTCGAGATTGTGAATCGCTGTGATTTATAGCGTGTATTATAAAAGTAGTTAAGTTTAAAGTGAGGAGAAATGTACTGATTGTGAAACTACTGTGTGCTAAAAGTTTGTATCGAGGAAAAATAAACAGGTTTAATCAAGAAAGGACTTGTATCACTAAAGTGTCTCGGAAAGAATTGCTACCGGAAGTTAACGAACAAGCAGATACGTAACAAATTGGTGTCAGAGAGTGGGACGGAAAAGAAAAAAAAGAAGAAGCTGGAAACAAGAAGTGGCAAATCAAACTACAGCTTAGCAGGTTTGATGGCAGTAATACAAGAACAGCACAGAAACAAGAAGAGAGACAACAGCAGTGGCAAGAAAACCTGCAACAGTAACAGCTTGAACAGCAAAATAAACAAGAGAGATTACAGCAGTTGTTGGAAAAAAAGAAAAGAAACAAGAAGAGAGACAACAGCAGTGGCAAGAAAACCTGTAACAGTGCAGCTCGAACAGCAAAATAAAAAAGAGATATTACAGCAGTTGTTAGAGGAAAAAGAAAAAAACAAGAAGATAGACAACAGCAGTGGCAGCTCGAACAGCAAAATAAACAAGAGAGATTACAGCAGTTGTTGGAAGAAAAAGAAAAGAAACAAGAATAGAGATTACAGCAGTTGTTGGAGGAAAAAGAAAAGAAACAAGTATAGAGACTACAGCAGTGGTTGGAGGAGACAGAAAATAAACAAGAAGAGAGACTACAACAGTGGCAAGAAAACCAGCACCAGTGGCAACTGGAACAAGAAAGGAAACAAGAAGTACAAATGGAAAAGATTAGTGAATTAAATACATTAAAGGACGATTTACTGTCTTGTACACAGAGAGGATATATTAGCCATGAACCTAATCAGCCCCAGACAACAGGAAGCCCCTTCCAGACCCTGCAGTTAAACCCTAATGCAGACATCTTTAGTCCTGCCAGAAGTCACATTCCAGACACGAGTGTCAGCAATAGGGGTGATCTAGTACGAAGGAAGCCACAGGAATGCGATGGGAAGGCACCATGGGAAGCATATAGGGCACAATTTGAGCTCCTGGTAGAAAAATGAATGAATCGACAGAGGAGCAAAAAGCAGTGTAACTGGCAACAAGCCTGAAGGGACAACCACTGGAAATACTTGGACAGTTGTCAGCAGATGATAGGCGCAATTATAGAGCACTGGTAGCTGCTTTAGAAATCAGGTATGGAACTCAAAATCAGTCCAAAGTTTACAGGGCTAGGTTTGGGACAAGAGTCTGGCACAAGATTTGGAAAGTATGGCACACAAGGCCTACCCAACTGCACCACCCGATGTCCTCAAGCTGTTGCTGAGGGATCAATTTGTAGATGCCTTAAACAGTACAAACTGAAGATACAAGTAAAGCAAGCACACCCTTCTACTATGCAGGATGCAATGGCCAGAGCTATTGAATTCGAATCACTAAATCCAGCATAGAGGTACCAAGGTTGGTACAGTCATCAGGATTCAAGGCCAGAAAAGGGCAGCTTTCAGATAAGTTAGACAAAAGTGGGTCTAGGGATGGCAGTAGGTCTTTTAACCAGCTGACTTTCATCTAGTCTGTCAACTAAAAATTAAGGACGGCAAAGCGCAGATATCCATTTAGGTAGCTTTGTGCTAAAAGTCTTAAATGAAAAATAACAATATTCTTTTTACGTTTAACACTAACTATTTACACAGTTAACATTAATAACCAAACTGTTTTTAAGCTTCTTTTCTTGACCTTCTTAAGAGAAAGCAGCAAGTGCAATTTCAATTGTTTTAGTGAAATTTATAGAGGAAAAAGTTTCTCTAGTAGTATTATATAAGTGTTTCATCCAACACAGAAGTAGTAGTTAACATATTGTTACGTCTTTGGTCGTTTCTTAATTTCCCGGTATAAATTCTTCCCGAGAAACTTCAGCGATACAAGTCCTTTCTTAAATAAAACTAGTTTATTCTTTCTCAATACAACTTTGCAATACACAGAATTTCCACAGTCACTTTAACTTAAACACACGCTATAATTCACAACGATTCACGCATTTTACTTACGGTCACCACCGCTTGCTTGACTCAATTATCTGTTTCTATATCTCCCCATCTGCCATTACTTGCCGGGCTTATATACTAAAATAGAGGGCGCCTGGAAAAGACTAGAGTTGCCAGGAAAAGTCATGATCCTTCTAGAAACTCATGACGTGTTACCAGCGTTAAGTGACTTCCGCTGTCGTAACAATATATTTCTACTGATTGTTTGTGAGAGCGTTAATTTTAGTTTTAATGAAAGTAATTCAGCATTAGATTGAAACTCTGAAACTTAGGCTTAACATTTATAATTAGGGTCAAAACGTAGCTCTCAAGGGCGCGCTAAGTGTTGGATATATTTGTAAATATGTACGATACAAGTAATAAAAAACATTTTGTTAATGTAAAATGATGTAGGGATGGCAGTGTCAAAGAGAATGCAAACACGAATATGGGAATGATTCAGCTATACATAAATAATCACTACATGACTTTCAATTTTAAATCTAGAAATGACAGAATACAGAGAAGACAGCTGATCAACACCACCTACCGCCGAATTTTGGGCTACTTTTTACCAACGAATAGAGGGATTGATCATAACTTTACAACACCTTCATGAAAGGGTAAGCACGTTCGAGCGTCCTAACCAAAGAAATACTGTCCTTTACCTTTTGTCAAAAAACAACAGCAAATTACACTTTATGGATCAAATAAAACAACAAAATGAAAATAAATTTTTCATTTTGCCAAACCAGTTAAATTAATGATAATTCCATTACTAAACTATAAACATACTCATTATTTATAAATCAGTAAATATGAAGAGTACTTGCATTTATTTATTGCTATTAAGGACACTTGCCACCGTCCCTACTTTTGAATTACTAACCACAGAGAAGACACCCAGTCAGGAGCAATCCATCATCCACACAAAGGGAATAACTGCCACCCTTATAACGCACACACAGCTTAAAGTGCGAGGAATATTTTGTCGTATTGCACAGATTCGAATCAGGCTCACCAGCTCCGAAATCCAGAGCTGTACCACAGTACCACCCAGCGTCTAGTTATCTGTGCCTTTAAAACTTTGGATATCTATACACTGAGATGACGAAACGGGAGTAGATGGTTAATAATAGCTTACTGGCATTATAATTTTCATTGATTAGAGGAAGTGGGGTCCGAGACCCATAATTGGATGTTTTTGTTAACTTTTGTTTCTTGATATGTTATTTTCATGATTATTGTCTCTTCATTCGTTATTGACAATCACTTGTAATTCGCCATGATTGTCAACATATTTTGTTTATTTATTTATATATTTTTTATCCACGAGGCGACGCTAAACTCGCGTAAAGAATAAAGATACGGAACACACAGTCTTTATGTTATTTTGTAGAGCACGTAATTCTATACGCTTACAGAAGTTACCTCTCTTGGAAAGAAACCAGCTTCTGTAGCATGTCAATCATCATATCACAGTTTTCACTCTCATAGGCGACAGAACATTTGAATTTGGTGGTGAGGGGGGGGGTAGCAACAATTGGAGGCACGTTACTTACTCTGTTATCTGTGACTATTGACTTCAAAACTGAAACAACGACTTTCATGATAAGTTTATACAATTCTCTATTCCGCATTCAATGGGACACTTCACTACTGGGTCAAAATGGGTGGGGGTTGCCTCCGGTTTGGCCGCCTATGTTCATTCTTAACAGCAGTTTATCCCAATATCCTCCTACAGGTTTGTGAACGTGTATTCATTTGTCCAATTCGATATGTTTGTTTTCTACTGACAATTGGGCTGTAGTGAAAAAATTTGTTTATCAACCACTTGTAAATGTTTATCTGGGAACTGCAAGATTTGAGACTTGATAGCACAGGTGGTTTGTTCAACTGCTGGCAAGTAGGGTTATAATCTCATCCGGTTTCGAGGTAGTTTCTTAGAGATATTTACAAAATTACAAACTACAGTAATCCATCTTAAATATTCTGAAGCGAGTTAAAAAAATCTAACGGAAATGACGTCACCCCATAAGTTGATTAAAATAGGAACATTAAGTTTTCAAATGTATCGTACACAAGTTTTTCATATTTATATGTACCATGGGAAACTGTTAACACCAATATCTGTACTAATAGATGTGGCCAACATTAACTCTATTCCTAACAAATATAAAAAGATTGTTTGGTTTGTTTGCTATAGTGTAAAACCACATTGGGCTAGCATCTGTGTCCACTGAGAGGAATCAAACTTCGTATTTTAGTGTTACCGCTGCCTCACGAGACACAAAAATATGCATTTGATGCGTACATCAACTTTCACCAGAATGAACTGTTTTTTCTCACGCTGACGATACAACAAAAAACTAGGAATTCGCAAAAATAATTTTAAATAATGTAGGATATGACTTTGTGTACAATCAATTGTTTTATAGCTTACAGTGAAAAATACGAGCATAAAAAGAATTACAGTTCAAATTATCGCTATTAACTCAATCCAAAACATGATACAGTTGATAAAACACAGGCTTAACAAAATATAAAATACTGAACTAAAAGAAATCTTCAAAGTAAATATGTCCAGGTAAATAGCAGTACAGTTTGTTGAACCTGCTCACTGGTTATTTCTCTGTGTAACGATGGAGTGCTTTCATAATTCCTTTATATTTTAATATATTTTCTCATTAATTGATTATATTGTAACAATAACGAGGTGGGATATTAGATTATGATGTCATTGAGAAAGCACTTATTAGGTTATTAATTACTCTAAAAATAATTTAGTACATCAAATACAGCTTCAAGAGAAGTTAATGTTCTTAATTAAATCTAACAAGTTATTAAAAAAATACCAATACAGTGATTTGTTTTTATTGGTGCAAAAAGTACAGTAACAAAAATTAAAATCACACTTATTAGACTACTGTGTAGTCAAAACAATGAATACAATACATGCCTGCATGTACAACAAGCTGCAGAACTATTACAGATATTCACAATCCTTGCGAATATTTAGATTAATTTATTCTGGGGCTACCACAACTCCAAGCAGTAGTTTAGTAAACTATACTTCTGTTAAGTACCAAATTCTCATGGTATTCAAATCATAAAACCAAGTTTATCTAATTATCTCGATGTTTTTATAAAAAACATTTTTATTCCACATCTTCTTTGTATAGTTTTTTTATATTGATACAAATACAAATTAGTATTTTTATTTTAAGTCTTAATAGTTCAGCATGTTTAAAAGATAATAACCTAATGCTGCCTACATGCTAGAATAGAATAGGTTATCTAAATTTAGTTTCAAACAATAAGTCAACATTATTATCAACTCTTTAGTTATTGACCTGTTTTTTTTAACAAGCACAAAGCACCAACAAAACCACTTATTTACTGCTAGTTATTAATGCTTATAAGCACCATGACAACCAAATTTGCTATCATTTTGTTTGCATAGAGATGTAAAGATGTTGGCTAAACAGTTAGTGGGAAGCAGCAGAGAGTTGTACACCAGGAAGCTATCTATATAGGTTGCCAATGTGTTAACAGCAAGATGTCATATCTATACAGGTTGCCAATGTGTTAACAGCAAGATGTTCTATCTATACAGGTTGCCAATGTGTTAACAGCAAGATGTTATATCTATATAGATTCCCAATGTGTTAACAGCAAGATGTTCTATCTATTTAGACTTCTACTGTATTAACAGCAAGATTATGTATCTTTAAGGTTGCTAATTATTAACAGCAAGATGCTACATGGTTGTGGTCAAACATGGAAGACAAAATTCATAACAAAACACATCAGGTGCTTTGCAATATTTTCCCACCTAACTTTTGTAACAGCCCTTTTTCTTTAAAAGAGGGTATTCTGAAGGAAGTTTTACAGTAACCTCCCTCTGTGTATAAAAGCAGACATTTTCTTAACTTACAGAGATTGTTGAATAACTCTAAACATGTATCTTATCTATATAATGACAAGAATATTCATAGCAAAAAAAAAAATTTCAGGTTATCCAGCTTGAATAACCAACCTCTCACTACTATAGCAAGGAAAAATGGTTACTAAGCTGCATCGTGTCTAAAACCTTAATGTTTCACCCAAAATCTTGCAGATGTGATCCTCATACAACTAGTTTAAGGTGTAAACACAGAACACAAACAACTAACCAGACAAACACACACACACACATATATAGAAACGACACACTTTCAGTGTTCAATTTACCAAGAAATGCCTTAAGCAGAAGTATGTGAAAGACTCATGCTAAAAGTCATAATTTGAAGTAACAGTAAAATATTTGTCTCATCATTTTTACAATTTTTATTATGGAAGACAAAGCTGAATTCAATAGTAATCTTAAACTTAATTTTTTATGAAAATTTAGAGCAGGACAATATTTTTTACTGTTACCTTGGCACCATTGGTGACAAGAAGTCAAGGTTTTCACAAAAAAACAGTATAGGTGGAACCTCTCATAAGATTTGCTTGGCTGCAGGAAACTTCATTGAGAAAAATATGATAAAACAAAACACTTTTTTTTGTGGTTCCACATTGTGTTCAAGCCAGAGAAATATCATAGGAAATTCTGATTGAAAATTCTAAGATGTCAGGAAGGTTCAGAAAAAATACTGCCCTGGTCTAGAGTTCACTTAGAAACATTCTACTTTCAGCAAGATTTGTAAGTAAAATAGTCATAAATCACAGGTATAAGAAAAAAATCTATGCAGAGTTTTCCCCTTTGTTTTGTTTTTTTTATCTTTTAATAATACAGTACTTTACTGGATAGATACTTTCCCTTACACTGTTCTAACATTTTAGCAAAAATACAATTTGCACTGAACTTTCTCTATGATCTTTTCCCTTTCAACACAACATTCATCCAGCCACTGTCTGATTGTCCATTTGCTAGTATCTGCATGATATAAAGGGTATATTTTCTTAGCGTTATACCCTTTTCTGACTGTTAACAGCTCCTTATACTGCAAGTTACAGAAGAATGTTCCATTTGTTCAATTTGAACTGAATCAACCATGGTGATGGCATTTCTGTTCTCCTGGCTATCCAGAATGAAATTCCAGCATGGTGAAGGGACTAGAAGGCGATTGGTGTACCACCTGTTCCTCTTGTTTCACATCAGGGCCTTTGGATGTACAAGAGACAGTCATCATTCACAATAAATATAAAAGTGACCATTAAAAAAATATGATGCTGTCCTATGGTTATGTTATAAATTTTTTTATCTATTTTTATAGAATTATATTATACAAAATAAATACTTTGTTAATATTTACATTTTAGAATATTACATTTTTATATAGCCAAACCCTCAATATCTCTAAATATTTTGGATATTTTAATTTCAAGTGTAAACGATCAAGCCCAAATTTTTAAATAAAACTTATTTTAAGTAATTAAAAAAAAACAAATTAATCATCATGTACTATAGAAATATCAGTTACTACAACATAATAACAGATATTTTTAAAAGTTAATTTTTACCAATTGAAACTAACTTAACAGTATGCTAGCATTGCCATTATGTTTTAATATAATTTCGTTAGAAGTTTACTGATAATGAGTGGTGTAACTATAATCCCAGAAAGAAGTTATGAGAACAATAATAAAAGAACAATATCATGTGTAGCAATTAGTGAAAAATCACAGCAAGTGGAACAAACTGTCAGAAGTCTGATATCAGAGAAACTAGTTGACACATTTGTGAAATTGAAGAGGACACACAAATGTGTCAGAACTAGATGCTCTGATATCAGACTGCTGACAGTTTGTTACTTATGAAAACACAATACAAAAGCAGCATTTTTCTTTACTGTTACAATTGTATGTACATATGCATTAACAATAAAGGGAACAGAAAATCTTTGTATGCATACAATACTCTTTGTTATATCTTGGTTTAAAACAATCACAAAAAAATAACATGCCAAGTTCTACACACCTAAAAAAAAAAAAAAACCTAGCAATAACACACACCCACACTTGTGTAAACAAATTGTCTATAAAAATGATATAGCCTTATGTTGTGGCTTTATAATTAATTTTCTTTAACATTTTCTTTTGTTTTAGAATAGTTCAGTTTACAGTCATCAACAGCAACATGGCCATTTTTAGTGCCACTCTTGTATTGTAAGAACCCTTTTTACAATATTCTTTACACTGGAGTTATCTTTCAAATTAAGGATAATTTATGATAAAAAAATATTTATTTTTTTTATCTCTGGGGAATGAATGAACAGAAATTGTCACAGATCCAGATGCGTAACTATTGAGTAGGCACTTTTATGTTCTCTGCAGGAAGAACCAACAAACCCAACTAAAGCCCCCATTTCAACTTTATGGTTAATAGTCAACTTGACTAGTGAGAACCAAAGATTATGATCCTACCATATGATAGTTCTCATAATTTCATATGCAATTTAAGAATACTTTGTGTTTAGGAAATGGTCATTTTCAAAATTCCAAACTTAATAAGCTAGTTATGAGCTGACTTGCATCCACTCAGTGGATGTTACATGCCTACGTCTGTACGAATGTGATCATGTGTGTGCAAAACAATACCTACTTCTTGCACAACTGGTGATATGGCATTCCATAATAGCCACCAACCTCGGCTCCACGTCGCCAAGAAGAGGTCTCTTAGAAGAATCGCTAGCCCAGCACTCCTCCATCAGCTTCCAACATTCATCATCAAACTGTGGCAAACGTTCTGGACGAGCACCTGCAGAAAAACTAACAACTGTTAGAAACACAGTTTCTAACTTGGCAAGGTAAATATTCTGCAAACTCTTATTGGTGAAGAATGTCTTTTTAAAATAACATCCTCAAAGATAAAATAGGAAATATATTAGAAAACAAAAAATTTCAGTTGGCAATGCTAAAGATTGTTAGCAAAAAAAAAAATTCAATATCTTAATAAAACATTTATACATAATAGAACTTGAAATTCAAATCTGTGACTTTGACCTCATGTTCTTTCAATGAATTTTACAAAAGAAAAATTAATATTGTTTTGAACTATAGATACAGTGTTAACAGAAGTCTTGTAAAAATAGTCAAGACATCCTCTCAGAAAAGTACTTTAATCCCAACTGATCACTGAAAAAATAAATGTGTGAACACTTGGAAAGTTCAAGGATTGAGCCAAGCTTCATCATGATCACAATAACCAAAACTTACCCAACTGGAGGAGAAAGAGGGGGAGGATTAAGCATGCTGTGAATGAAAAATGAGTAGAAAAGGGGTTCAAAGAAATAGTATTTTAGTTTATATTAGAAATTAAGAAATGTGATAATTTCAGGTGTCACATCGGCTGCACTGATATTACTATAAATTTATTCTTGCTGTACATTTGTTTGTCTGTGAACTTCTCCCACAGTTTTGGCAGACTAAATTGGTATGGCCAAGGAATTGTCCATATTTTCATGACTTGGCCTCCAACTAAGAGGGGTTGACACATGCCCAGAAAGTCATCAAGGCATGATAAGGGTCTGAAGGTAGATTTTTAGGATCATTGAATCTGAATCTGGCATCACATTGTGTTCCTGCCCCCACTGCATGATCCTAGGGGACCAAACATTGCACACATGCTCAGATAGCACAGACAATGTCCTAACAGGGTTTGCTTTTTATTATAAACCTCTTCTTGAGGTTGGATAGAAGTAACTGGGGATAATGGATGAGCTTGACTTGTACATTAGAGCCTCTGTGAATCATGAATTTGATTCCTGCAGCAGAGTATGGGTGTTTATGATAGCTATGATAAAATCTCACATTAACGCTGACTTTATGAGATGAAATGCATTGCTGTTGTTATAATACACATATAGTTAACTATTCAATAACCAAAACAGAATAAAATACCTCCTGCAATAAAACTCAACAGGCATTATAAACTCGCAACACAAACACAATTTCTTGGTCTCACCTTTTTTCACACAATTCCAAAGTTGATCTTTAGTTTGACATTGCTCGAAGATGTAAGGAAGTCTCACATGACCTGCACATAGATACCAGAAGAGAATTCCAAAAGCATACACATCAACACTGTTGTCATAGTGACCACTAAACAATTCTGGAGCCATGTGGATCGGAGTACCAACAATACTTCCAGACATCATGGCTTCAGGTTTGCAAAATCCAAGATCTGTGATTTTAGCTCTATTCTTTTTGTCAAGCTATAGAAAAAGTTTATAACCCAGTCACTGAAGGGAACCAAATAAAAAATTCCATAATAATTTAATTATTATTTTAAATTGAAAATTAGAAGGAACCAAATACAAAATTTTATAATCAATTAATGCCTCACTTAGAAAATAAATAATAATGAAATACAAATCCAGTTTCAGAAATTTTGATATTAATTTATGATTTTAAACTATAAACTATGTAGATAATACCCACACCATAATGTTATTACTATAAAAAGCTAAAAGTTTGAAAGGAAAATAATTGTACATAAATAAATTGTTAGATAAATGAAAGATAAATTTACTTGTTCACAAATATGTCAGAAAATGATTAAATGTTATTTTAATATAATCTGGACATATGCTCTATAGTAATTACTATACTTAATGCCTGAAGAACTAATTACTACTTGACAATAAACAACCTAGATAGTGTGACACTACGGTCATACTTACCAACACGTTTTTCAGTTTGATGTCTCGGTGAACAAGACCTTGGCTGTGAAGAAATCGAATGCCCTGTATCACATCCAATGCAATCTAAGAAAGTAGCAAAACATGTAACATTGCGTCATAGCTTGTCTACATACCAACATATGAGTAACAGTCCAATATCTTCATAAATTTTTATTATCACAGAAAATGGTAAAACATATAAAAACACAAATATTTATATCCAGCTTCAAGTTCTGAAATTTCAGGTTCTTAACAGTGTCAACTACAGTATGAATAATATCATTGAAATTTGCACAGGAATGTATTTCAAACAGGCTGTAAAACAAATTAACCTTGTACTCTTTACCACCATTTACCACATACAACATTGGACTTTTATTTACAAACAGTTTTCTCCACATAACTATATTTAACTACAAAATAATTTGCTATTTATTTTAAACCATTTAAGTTATAATACAGAGCCAGAAAAAAGCTAGAAACAATTATATGAAAATCTGACTATTGCAATATTTTATAAACCTTGGTTGAGTACCAAGACTGTGATATTTCATAAACCTAAGTTGAGTACCAAGACTGTGATATTTTATAAACCTAAGTTGAGTACCAAGACTGTGATATTTTATAAACCTAAGTTGAGTACCAAGACTGTGATATTTTATAAACCTAAGTTGAGTACCAAGACTGTGATATTTTATAAACCTAAGTTGAGTACCAAGACTGTGATATTTTATAAACCTAAGTTGAGTACCAAGACTGTGATATTTTATAAACCTTAGTTGAGTACCAAGACTGATATTTTATATACCTAAGTTGAGTACCAAGACTGTGATATTTTATAAACCTTAGTTGAGTACCAAGACTGATATTTTATATACCTAAGTTGAGTACCAAGACTGATATTTCATAAACCTAAGTTGAGTACCAAGACTGTGACATTTTATAAATCTAAGTTGAGTACCAAGACTGTGATATTTTATAAACCTAAGTTGAGTACCAAGACTGATAATGTTCTATTTTACTTTTAAATTCAATAAGTACAGAATTATGTTTCTAACCTGTTACAAAAAAAATCAAACTACTGGTCTTGATAAAGAGCTTTTACAATAAAGAATGAAATAACTTATGATAGAAATATTATACCAATCATACGAACAAAAGGTAAAAGATGAAACTCTGGTTTATCTCATTGTTCTTTCTTGGTAAAACAAAAGTTTAACTTATGAATCTATAATGAACAACAGTACCAAAGTGTACAGGGATTCACAAACTCTCCCAACTCGTAACCCACCTGAGTAGCTAAGAAATTTTTTTGTACCATGCTCAACTGCGGGGAAAGGGGGGGATATTTGGGCAAAGACTAGTAGTACTTTATATTTCTTTATTTGGTTTTGTTTCCTAAAAATTATTTTAGGACCATTATCTTATAAATAATTTAATAATATGTTTTTATGTCTTGTTCTGCAACCCACCATTATACTGAATGACCCACCAGTGGCTTACAGCCTACAGTTTGTTTCTATTTTTATGGTATTTTCACATTTTCTTACCTGTAATCTTGTGTTGATGTCTAGTTCTGCTTTCAAAGCAGAGTGAAGATCTCGCTGTAATCTTTCCATGATAAGAAGAACAGCTGGGGTGTTCCCTCCACCATATGAATGGTCTATCACAGAGCCTTGAATCTGGACAACACGCTCGTGTTCTGCAATACACCTATAAAAGTACAGATGCTGTAAAACCAATTAGAATTTTTTCCCCTTAAAAAGAGAAGTAAACTTTATGCAAACAAAAAGATCAAAATTAGTTACTTATTCTTACATTAGGGAAGTGCTTCCCAAATATAGTTCCTGCGTGACTTTATTTTGAGACCTCAAAACACAGTAGAAAACAAAACATACACAAGGCAGTTTGAAAAGCTTTTTTAATCCAGTTTGGAATATAATGTATTAGAGACAGGCTGAAGTTCTTGTCATTAACTAATGCAGTTTATATAAAATAATAAAACATTTGGAAAATTGCAAAGTTGAATATAAAGAAATACAACTGAATAATTAATAAAAACAGTACTTTACATCAACTCCTATCTTTGTGCGACTTATTCAGTATTTTTTTTACAACTGAATGTTTTTTCTGACTAATAGGTATATGATATTCAAAACTAGCATGTAATTTGTAACATTAAAAATTTTGTGATCAACATTTTTAAATTATAATACTGCATACATAAATAGTGTTTCAAAGAATCTTGTGTCTCTAACTGATGAGTTCTGGTAACAGAATGAAAGGCTTCTTGGGCAGTGACTTGTGAGAGACAAAATATACATTTCAAATGTTATTTTTACATGTCTCCAATTTTGAGACCAAAAATGGACAAATTAACAGAAACGTAGAAAAAACACAAACGTCTGTAGCTAACATGATTTTTATCAAAAAAAAAAGCAGTGGGTTGCTGCCAACTAGTTACTTCCCTATGGTCAGTGGTTGGAGATTATGGATAGGATCCTGGAATTAGCATCTGTAAATATGCTCCTTAAGAGACTCCTCAATTGGAAGGAGGAGAATCTGTTCTTTGGTCACTCTAGGGTGTAACCATTTTTCACCAACCTTACCTGGTGTAATAGAATTCCATAGCTAGATCATTCCAGTGCTTATCATCAGGAGGAACCACAGACTTCACAGCACATGGAGAGAACCCAGCCCACGATTCACAAGCATACACAACTCCGTATTGCCCTCGACCGATCTCTCTACCAAGATGAGGCATGTCTGAAAAAAAAAAAATGGTTACTACATTATCAGCAAACTTAGTTGCATTTGAAAATATCAAAAAGTTCACACAGTTCAATGAATATCAAATATCAAAGAAAAACATCCTATTTCCAATTTTATACTATATAATTGCAAGTTGCACAAAAAAATTACTTTTAAACAGACCAACACAGAAGAATCACATTCCCTTATAGCTTTCTTTTTTCGTTCTCCTGTGTCAGCTGAAGAGTACTTAATCTTTTAATTATCTACAGTTTTACATCTATTAAAGTAACTTTCATATTTGACTGGTATTACAGTGATATAATAATTCCAAATGAAAACCACTAACTTTGAACTAATTCACTCCTATACTTATCATAGAGAGAATTATTCTTACTACCACAGAACCAGATACATCAATATGGTAAAGGGAATTATTCTTACTACCACAGAACCAGATACATCAATATAGTAAAGGGAATTATTCTTACTACCACAGAACTAGATACATCAATATGGTAAAGGGAATTATTCTTACTACCACAGAACCAGATACATCAATATAGTAAAGGGAATTATTCTTACTACCACAGAACCAGATACATCAATATTGTAATGGGAATTATTCATACTACCACAGAACCAGATACATTAGTATCGTAAAGGGAATTATTCTTACTACCACAGAACCAGATACATCAGTATCGTAAAGGGAATTATTCTTACTACCACAGAACCAAATACATCAATATTGTAAAGGGAATTATTCTTACTACCACAGAACCAGATACATCAGTATTGTAAAGGGAATTATTCTTACTAGCACAGAATTAGATATATCAATATCATAGAGAACATTCATATTACCACAGAACCAGATATATCAATATCATTAACCTGATGACTACCGGTACTAACTTTCTTATATATATATATATATTTTTTTTTCATATTCTTTTGAATTTAAATTTGTAGTTTTAAGTTCAATAACTTAGCCTAATTTTATATTTAGTTCATA